AATGAACTGTCCCCACGTTAACATTAGAAGACACTGTGCTCCCTTGAAGAACATCCCGTTTTGTCCTCCTCAACGGTCATAGCACTCGACTTTTTTCCACCACACTCCTCATTTCAAGTCAAAATATATCCTATCATTGTTTTTAATGCCTTAAGAAACTGGTGGTACTCCTTTTGATAGTGAGACCCCAGAAGATGGAAACAAAGGTCTGTGTTTTCTTGCTGACAATGTTATGGCCATATTATTCGTATTGCTAATGGTTTTTAGGCTGCTTATCTTCAACTATTTATTGAAAAAGAAGGTTAAAAGATTTTTAAATATACTCTTTTCCCCAACTTGTTCATGATTGGCCAAAAACCACCACAGAATCACAAAATGCAGAAGTTCCCTTGCACAGGAATTAATTAGATTAAAGGTACTTTGTGGTGATTTTATGATGGCATCTTCTGGTTGAAGTGAAGTTGTAAGTTTGTATCTAGTGCTTGGCAAGATATGGACCCTGCTTTTCACATGCCATTTCACTAAAAAGCTATTTTAAACTACAAAATAATTTGCCATCATCCTTCATTTGAAGATTATGAACTTACTCCTCTCCTTGTAGTACCTGGTGCAAATTAAGTTTCTCCCTGAATCCCCATGGTCTCAACTTTGAGTCCCCATTCAAACTACAAGAAAACTGATTCTTGGCACAATAAAATGAGAATTTAACTCTGCAATCTATTTGCCACCAGGATTACTGCAAATTTAGTGATCAGCTGAATAAGAAGGATCATTTAAAAATGTCAGCAACCTAAAGCTTATAAAAAGAGCATCTCTTTGGGCTTTGCAACACAGAGAAGACAAGTAGTGATTCTACCACATTTTACTCTGCTGACGGGCAGTGACTGTAATGGGGTTTGTGGTGGGGACTTAGGGTAGGGGAGAGCCTAGTAAACATAATGTTGTTCATGTAATTGTAGATTAATTATAACAAAATAAAATTTTAAAAAAATAGAAAAAGAGAATCTCTTTATAAATGATGTCATTCTGAGGTATTAAAACATCTTAAAATGAGCATTTCAGAACTTAATTTGTTCAGGTGAGCATTATTCCTTTCAGAGCAGTTATCTTGGAAAGCAAAATCCCAGTAACTCTTTGGCTTAAAATGTTTGAGAACTGCTTTTAGTTCATTTAGGAATTAATAAGAAAACCAGCCTCACTTGTGTAGTCATGTTCTCTCTTTTGACTTTAAATAGCATAAGTCATCTTCATCATTCACTCATTCCTAGACCTGGTACTCATTTTGGGGGCGTGGGGGTGGGAGGGGTGATTGTTTATGAAAGTTAAACGTCAAAGGACAAAGATTTGTTGCCATCAGAGACACTTAAAAGAATGTGCTCACAGGTTTTTAGGACAATTCCAAAAACGGAATTCTGAAAATATGGTGTTCAGCCGTGTCAGCACCATTTAGAACGCCGGGTACAGTTTCTCAAGGTGAGTGCTTTCCAGAGGACACCACTCACCTTTCTTTCCGTCCTGCCTTTGGTGGCCTAGTCTGGGCCCTGTCCATGGCTGGCTTGTGACCTTGGGCAAACTGCTTAATTTCTTCATCTGTAAAATGATGTGAAGAACTAGAGGCCCCGCAATGGATCTTTTCAGCTCTTAACATTCCAGGACAAGAATATGTTATCCAGACTTGAATTCGAAGTTACTTAAGGCAAGACCTTTAAAGTATTAAATTAGACCAATGATTGAGGCTGCTTCTCCCATGGTCTCTTTTTGTCTGTTGTTGTCCTATATTAACATTTATTGTCATTTGGGGGCAAGAACAAAGTTTGTATTTATTTGGAATTTTGTGAACATTTAAAAATTTTTATTGCTGATCAGAAGATGTATCTACCTTGTATGGGGGAAAGGAAAGAGAATGCACAAAAAATATGATTTTGTTTCATGCTGTTTTGTAAGCCATGCTTTGTTTCTCCTTATGGGTCACTGATATTCTCAAACCAGATACCCATGACATATTAACTTGTAATGTTAAAAAAAGCTACCAACACCCCTGATTCTTATCATGCATTCATCTCTATGTCATTATAGCACTGATCTGATTAATGATATTTTTTAAAAGCTTGGCCCTTCCCTTTGCAACAGTTGCTTACCTTAAAGTAAGATGGTGGTTAAAAAATACTTCCTGTGAAACGCTCGCAATTGCAGGTATTCACAGGACATGTCTGGTTCTATTTTTCTTTCTTCCTTTCTTTCTTGAGTATCCTTGGACTTAACAGCCTGGTCTTTTTCATAAGAAATGTCAGCAAAGTCTTTGAATTAATGAACTGTGAAGTGCTCAAAAAAACGTAGCATTTCAAAAAGTATTGTGCAAGGATGTAACACTAATGGGAGGTGATCCTTGAGTTACAACCAAATATCCCACTCTAACTATAAAGAATTAAGGTAGCAACTGGCTCAGGCACAATCCCTTTGAACAAAGACCCAGGGAGGAAGAAGTGATGAGGAGTGGGGGAGGTCAGAACTAGAGAAGCAATAGGGAAAACGTGTTTACGTTAGAGTCTCTTTGGCTCTGTTGAGCATTTCCGTCAAATAATAGAGTTATACAAACCCCCCTATAAAAGATACCAGGTGGAGGGAAGCAAGAGAAGGAAGCAGGCGCGGTTTTGTCAGAAGGTTGATCAAATAAACATAAATAGTAGGTCCCTGGCTACACCTAATGTAGGTTTTGTTTTCTTTTAATTTTGCTATTTCAAAAAAGAAAATGCAGTGTAACTCCTTCAATCTTTTTTTGCAATTCTGCATGGCTGAACATTTGAAATGAGTTTGTGTATCACCCCCAGGCGCTGATTCAGACTTGATTGGGGCAAAGCAGACTGCATGTGCTTATTTTTATACACGTCATTTGGGACGTTCTGTCGCCAAAGGACCAAAAATGTGCTGCTCTATTGCCAAGTGATCACCTATCCTTTGATCAGACAGGGCGGTGATCCTCATCAACAAGTTGCGCACGACCTTAGTGTAACAGCAATGTCAGGTCAGCTTGAGAAAGTGAAGAGAGCCCTAAACACACACACACACAAAAACCAACAATCCTTATAATTATCATCGTCTGCTGCTTTTCCCTCTTTTGGCAAAGAAACACTCCATCCATTTGCAGAAATCGCCCGCGGAAACGTTACATCAAAACTAATCACAACGATTAAAATCAGCTTTTCTGTGCAAGAGGAGGGCAAAAAGCAAGTTGAAGGCTGGAATACGACTGTTTTAGCACCAAAAAAAAAAAAATCTGGAAAAAAATTTCCTATATATTATTCTATACGTAGATGTAGAGCTTTATTTTTGAAGGAGATCAATTGTCTGCCCTGTGATCAGTTAATTTGATTTAAGTTTTATTTTGGAGATTGATTTAGACGGGAGGTAGAGGCATGAGCTAATTGTATCCTGATCCTTGCCTTGAGGGGTTTCAAAGCCCTGGAGCAACTCTTCTCTGTATTTTGTTCTGTCTACCTTAGCCAAGCTATTGCATTTCTCTCTGGTGTGGCGAGCCGAGCAGATCGCTGGGAGAGAAATCGGAAAAGGGGGGAGAGGAAAAGGAAAAGGGGACTTGGAGAGAGACTTTGTGCTTCAATGTTTCAGGTAAGATCTGACGGTTTGGGTTTGTTATTATTTGCTAAGGAGGGTATGGCTGGGACTTTGGGCGCAACTCGCTTTTACGCATGTGCCAGGCATGGGGCGAGAGCGCGGCACGCTCGCACACACACACACACACACACACACGCACACACACAGCCCGCCGCGGTGGCCGGGATCCGCTCGGACCAGCGGCGGGGCAGCGGCCGTCGCCTCCTCCGGGGCCGCTTCGGCCGCTTCTCAGCTTCCTTCCTCCAGCGCGAGCGGGCGCAGCGGGCGGAGCGGGCGCGGCCCGGGGCCCGAGGCCGCAGCCCGCGAGCCGCGGCCGGGCTTCCGGATCTCACGGCCCGGTTCCGGACCTACGAGCCCCGCCGCCCGCCTCCCCGCGGCCGCTTCGCAGCGGCTCCCCGCCCCCCGCCGCCTCCCTCCGCCCCAAACCGCGCGCGCCCGTCTTCCCGGCGCGGGGCTCCGCGCCCGCGACCGGCCCCGCCGGAGCGTCCGGCGCCCCGGCCCCGGGCCTCGCCGAGCGCACCCCGCGAGGGGAATGCGGCCCCGGGCTCCGCTCCCGCCGCGGGGCCGCGCCCGCTCCTCGCAGGCAGCCGCGGCGCCCCCGGACGCTCCGCGACAGGCGCCATTGTGGCCTCCGAGAGCCCGGGCCCCGCGGGCTCTGCTGTCCCCGGGGGCCCAGGCGGGGGTGCGCCGCTCGCTTTGTGCGCGGCGCCCGGGCCCCGGCGCCTCCGCCGTCCATCTGCGGCCGGGCTCGTCCGGGTCCGCCGCCTCCGCCCACCCGGGCGTCTTTAAAGCCCCGTCCCGCCCCCCCTTTCCTAGCCCCCCTCCTTTGGGCGCAAACGTTCAGTTTATTTGTAAAAATACTCTCACTCCCGGCCTCCCCACATCCCCCCGATAAAGGGCTCGGCTCCGAGCCTCCTTGGGGGCGGAGGCGGGAGCCGCGGCGGGCGCGACGCGGGCCGCGGGGCTCTGCGTCGCCCAGTCGGGGGCCCGCAGCCCTCCCGGCCCTGCTGGCGGCCGAGAGCCCTTAAAGGGACGGTGTCCTGGCCGCCTCTGCCCTCCGCGGTCGGAACCCTCGCTCGCAGCCCCGAGGCGGGCGGGAGGGGTGCTGCGGGCTCGGTCCTGCCCACCCCCGGCCCGGCCCGGCCCGGGCCCCCCCCCCCCCACGCCGCCGCCGCCGCCGCCCCCTTGCTGAAACGTGAGGTGTGCTTCCTCTCCCGCCCCCGAGAGGGGCCTGGCTGGGAAAGAGTCGCGCCTCCCGGACAAAGAACGGGGTGGGATGTACGCTCTGGAAAATTAGCGTTAAAAAGTGAGGTCGAGCCCCAAAACCTCCAGGAAGAGGCGACCAGAGCCGTGGGGCAGGAATCCCTTACCTGGCCGCGTGCTCCGCCCAGCCTCCCCGAGTGCCGAAACTTCCTAGCTAGCGCGGTCGCCAGTGTCTGCCTTTGTGCTTTCGAACACTCGCACTGTCGTGGAAATGGTTTTCTGGTACCAAAACGTTTTCACGGTGACTGTGCTTCGGGGGCCGGCTGGGCGGGAGCCAGCTAAGTTAGCAAAGTTGCAAATGGGGCTGCTAGCTTTGTGCGTGGAGGACAGCACGCAGCGCCTGTCCAGCGTCCCCGTGGCGCTGGCTTCCGGGCTGAGAGGTGCACCGCAGTGGGCAGAACTAATTTGGTACCAATGCTGCATTACCTTTTAGATCATAGAACTGGTGGCTTTCAAGCAAATCCTGGACCCGCGCGCGCGCGCGCGTGTGTGCGCGCGCGCGCTTGGTGGAACTGCGAGACATAACAGTTTAACATACTCACTCTTTAAGAAAACGTTTGCCTTCTGTTTTCAATCAACTAAGCTGGCAGCTAGAGATACAAGTTTATTTGAGAAATACCCTCTGGGTACTAAGCACGCTTGGATTGTTTTAGCAAATTAAAAATGAGCAAAATGCTTTTACCTTCTCAGCAGTAGACTCCTTAAGAGACCTGCTGTTTTGTGTGCTTTTGTGTGTTTTTAGAAAAACATTTTCTGTGTGTTTCTCTCAAATGTGTTTTTAAGGCGGAGGAGAAAAAATACAGGATTTTTCAAGGCTGAGGCCGATGCCATAGAATGATGTGTAAAGTCTGATTTTACATCAAAGAATTTACCTGCGTGTGTGGGAATCTGTGGAAACTAATAGCTGACCTACTTGGTGAATTGGAAATAGCGGATCCATTTGTCTTCCGGGTAATCGGCAATGTGCCGACCTATCCTTCGTGTCTATGTTTGTGTGGCATTTGGCTTTCCATGAGGGGCTGGTGTTCAGGAGATTGCACACTGACTACGACTGTTTAGCTCAAGAGCCCTGCTGCTGCTTGATGGAAAGAATTGTTAGCAATTGTTATGATGACAAGTTTAATGTTTACTAATTCGGTTGCTAAGGTGATCACAATTTTAAAACTTTGCGTCACAGGGAAAACTTCATTGGTTTAGATATGTTTATAAAAAAGAAGGGAATGAATTAGGCAAAAATATCATACATTTGCTGGGAAGAAAATTTGAAATGAATTGAGCATGAATAATAGTTGGCAAAAAATCTCCCACCACAGTATTCAAAATGACTGCAGTGATCTTGCTGTATTAATTATGCCTGGAGCACAACATAAAGTTCTTCAACACACACTAGAGGTCTCTCTTCTAGCTGTAAGAATTTTGTGTTTGTAATTCTATGCCAGGGCTTGCTTAGTAGGTGTGTGCAATGATAGCTTGGTTTCATCCTTATTTAAGTAATAGTGATTTACTGACCATTCAGATTACTCTGATATGAGGTATTATTGTGGAGAATATTCAGTAATTATTGTACAAATTATACTACCTAAGTACTAGGAAAATAGCTGCAGTAAGACTTCTGCTAGATGATGATGAAAATGTATTATTCAATTTGGTGAATAGCATTGTGGACCTTATGGCATACAATTGTTTATCCAAAGCAATTTGTTTTTAGATGTAAAAGTAATTATCGAAAGACGTATTATATCAGAGAACTTCTTGAAAATTAAACTTCCATTTAGCTCTAGGTTTAGCAGCAAGTTGCTTGCACAAATGCTTTCTCATCTCAACGTTTCTAAAATCAGAACGATTGTTTTCTAATTCTGAAATGTGATGTTTTCTGCTAAGACCTCCCTGCACACCCTGCCCCTCCCCACCCAATTTACATTGCTCTTGAGTCATTTGAAGGACGTTTATTAACCATCAGTTAACTAAAGTTTTTATTTAGTGGGATTTTAAACTGCATTTCTGCACCTCTTTGGGACTTCAATTTACAATTTTCCAAGCAAACTGAGCTTTTATTTGCTCCATCTTTAGGATTAACCACCTTGGGAATAGAAATTAAATGTTCAGATGCTAGTAGGTATGCTTATTTTAATAGCTTACTCATGCCGAAGTGAGAATTCAGTCTTCTCAGGCACAGTAATAGTGTTCTGGCTTTTCATTCATAAAAATGTACTAGATGTTAATCATGTTATGTTTGTTGACCATGCAGAAAGCATAACAGAGATTATCTTTTAAGAATAAGAAGTCAGTGTTCAGTAAGTTTATTCATTCATTCAACAAATATTTATTTGTGCCCCTCTGTTTACAAGACACTGTGCTAGATACTGGATACATGTTGGTGAGAAAAAGTATTCAAAGTGCCCAGTGTCCCAGAGTTTATGATTCAGACAGGGAGACAGATGTTAATCAAATAGATGTAGGTTGATTAGTACTTTGAAAAAAAGGGAACATAATCAGATTATGTTTTGAAAGGATAATTCCAGTGTTACTGTGGGCAGTGAATAGAGGGGCCCAGAGTGGATGAAGCATGACCCTTGGAAGACTATTACAGTCATCCAGGCAAAAGAAGATATAGATGGAGTTCGGGCAGTGGCAGGTGAAACAGGGATGGAAGGATTCAATATCCATTTAGAAGGTCAAATTGGCAGAATGCAGTAAAAAGATTGGTTATGGGTGAACAAGGAGAGAGAAAGACATGTCAAATAGATTTCTTGGTTTCAGCCTAGGTTTCTGACATGTTAACCAAACAGACACTGGAATTCTGGACTGGGTAGATTTTGCACCTGTTACCTCATTTCTCTTAGCCAGAATGAATAGCAATGATAAGCCCCGTTCTCATCCTGTGTAACTGAATTCACCAGGGAAACCAAGGTCATTCCTTCTCTCCATTGTGGATGGAGCCTCTGCCAGGGGTCAGGCATTGATCTCCCACTCTTCGTGTGTCATCCAGGATGCCTTTTCATTCATAAATTACATTGTAATGTTTCATTTATCTATCCCCAGCTAGGTTGGAATGCATCATTTGAATAGGCCTATCTTCTGAATAGGTTTATCTTCTGAAACAAAATTAAGTCTGTGCCTTATAGTGCAAATTAATTGTGTTAAAAATACCATAAACTTGTATTAAACGATTATAAAACTTAGGTGCTCGACCATGCTTTTTAAAAGCCGATTTGCTTGCAAATAACTGGCACAATATTGCAGATTACTCATTGAAAAAAACGTTTAAGGACCTTAACACTGTAAAGTTTGGTCTGATTTGAGTTTATTGAAGTGTGCTTTCTTTCCTTGAGTTAGGTTTTAGTGCATGTGTCCTACCTGTGTCCTGAACTTTTTGTACTGATCCTGGGCTACTGTTGTCTCAATGAAGCATTTTCATACTTAAGTGGACATTGTTTTTGGCATTTCTAATATTTTCTCCTTTCTTTCCATTTGTTCCTGTTTCTCTAAAGTTTGTTCCCTCCTGTGGGGCTTCACAGCCATGGATAGCAACCAGGAAATAACATTTTGCCCCATGTATTCACCACCCAAATGGCACTGACTGTTCAGCAGTTGATAAATTTGAAGATAATCTAAAATTAAGCATTCAGTTTTTCTTTCAACATCAAAACTTACTAGAAAGAGAATTTCAGGAAAAGAAGTCTGCTGTGAATGCTTTCTAATAGCTTTTTTCCTGTCTGGTGTACTCCTTCCAGGAAATTTCAGACTGGAGCTCCTTCCAGGAAATTCAGGTTTCAGTTATTTCCATGCAACCATTTGAATATCACTGTCTGCATAGGGGTTTGCTACATAAATACAATTCTTGGTCCTCTACTTAGCAGTTCTCATGTGGGTGACCCTGAGGGCAGGCTTTGGTTGAAAAACATTTTAGCCAAGAAACCTGGGGTCCCATTTCTTCTGGAAATATGGGAATGATAATCTCTCTCCAGCCTGCCTTGTAGGGTTACTGAGAAGAAAAATAACAGTATGGATGGCAAACTAGTGTGCAAATAAGAAGCATCAAGCAACCCTAAAGAGTTATTTTGGGGGAGGACCCCCAAATTCTGACCTCTTGCTGCATGTAGTAGAGGCCAGTGTGGACTACCTCACTGAACCTCCAAAACAACACTCTGAGGCAACCCCCCAACTTCCAGGAAAAAGCACTCAGGATTGTAAAGATTACGTGACCTGCTGGAGGGCAAAGACTATGTGAGCGGCAGAGGAGGGATGCTAGCCCAGCAGGCTGGCTGCAGACACGGACCTACCCTTAGCCACTCTCCTGTCCCACCTGTACTCCTGGGTCTTTCTGTCCAGCAGATACTCTCTGAGCACCTTTGTGGGCACCTGGCACAGAGCTGCTTTTCTTCTCTGCCACCAGCTTCCGTTCATCCTCCCGCTGTTCTCCACCTCCCCGCCAACACCCACCCTGGTGTCTCCCTGCCGGCACCCCACTTCTGCACTGGGAGAGAGAGGGGGAAAAAACGGTTTGAGATGGTTGCGACGGTCTGTCTGAATTGCCCCCTAGCTCGTGCTGAGCAAATCATTCACTCCCCGACACTCTGTCAGGCTGACCGATATACTGATTGGTTTTCCATCCAACGAGAAGTGACAGCAATTCAGGTCTTGCTTCTGATGCTGAGGCTGCTGTTAAGAGGAAGAGTTATGAACTGAAGAGAATGTTAACTAGATCGATTTCAAATGCTTGCTAGAGGAAGGGATATTCTTCCTGATAAATCTTTACGAAGCCTCTCCTGCTGGCTTCGCTTAGTGCTTTGGAGCCCTTTCACTTTGCTGGGAATCTGTGGCTAATGGAACAGAAAATGTGTGGGAAACAAAAGACCCAGACTGTGTGGAAAAAAAAAAAAAGCTACATTGGTCCATGTAGTCAACACTTCTCTCCTTCGTGTACCCACTCCCACTACCCCACATTCAAATCCCATTCTCTCTATCCAATTATCTTGGGTAATTTACTTAATCTCTCTTAGCTTTGGTTTTTTGAACTGTAAATGAGACATAATAGTCACTATAAATGAGATAATAATATGAGATAATTGTAAATAAGATAATAATAGACCCTAGGGTTGTTCTGAGGATTAAAAGAAATATAATGGAATGTATATGCCTGGCACATACAAGTGCTTGTAAAATACCCAAATGATATTATTAAGAGTAAGAAGTATGTTCATCTTTGCTCTCTCTGTTCCTAACATGCCGCCTCACACACAGGATAAGTGCTCAATAAATAACTGCTGGATACATGGACACAGAATTTCAGAGAACACAAGAATAAAGCCAGGCAGTGATTCCATTTTCCTGTAAGTACTTTTTGCCATTGACAAGAGGGTCCAGGTTCTGCAGATGCCCTTGCCTGATGCTTGTGGGCTTTTTCTAACCAATTAGATTAACCATTTGGGAACAGACAAATTTGATCTGGGGAACTAAT